GCTCAAATAAAGTTAGTAATTGTAATCCATAAGAATTATTTCATTATATCCAACACCTTTACTAAATGATCAAAGTCCTTATGTGATAAAGCATAATTTTGCGATTAGTGACGTCATTAAACACCTAGTTTTAGTGGAAATGCAGAAACCACAGACGTCTGGTTTAAATTGGAATGGTGCAAATTGATGCTATCAGTGTCCCCAATACACATACAATAGAAAACATCTTTACAATCCCTTGTATCAAGTAGGGCCTATCCTTGATACGATGTTAGGTGTGTCAAGTGATTCAACTAAGACTTCGTCTGAATGTGTCCCACGATCCCTTTAATGCTATTAAGATCATGCTTGATCATCATAACTTATAGACTAGTGTATTGACAAATATAAATTCAAAAATTTTCCAGAGCCCATTTCTACACAAAATCCTTAGAGCAAACTCATAAGAAAATGCGATATTGATATTTATTGTCAATTCAAAGATTTGTATAAAAATACTTCAGTAATTAAAATACGTGTCATAAACATAAATCTTATGTTACCCTGTTATTTTCAACATGTTGCCAGCCTGTACAGGCCATGTATTCTCAAAACTATTTTAACGCTTAGATAATCTTATACCGGAAACAATGTAAGAACCTAAGATAGCGGTTTTCAAATTTTTTCTTTCTACTACCCATTTCAGGATCCTTGAGCGATTGCAATATAAAGTTTCTCATATTTTGCGGTTTTCTCTCAGATTTCCCTGCAATCTTTTTCATGTCTGAGAAAAATAGCTGGACTACATGGACCCTCATACCCTCAGGTTGAAAACCCCTGTCCTGGGACATCCTAGCGCAAAGACCGTTACGCGGCTAGGACCGTACATTACATGGATAGGTAGCTGCCTCCTCCTCGAAATTTGCAAAACGCAAAACGCATCTTGGGGATATGTCAAGTTTCATTCGGGGTTTTGGAAAGGTAAGCATACCCTGCTTTACTATAACAGTCGCTCCAGTTATTGACTATCACAAGGGCTCCTTTAGGTCGAGCTTGAATCAAACTTAATACGGCATTTTTGGGAGTTGATTTGAGCCTTGAATATTATGTAAATAGTCATCAGGAATACTAGAAATACACGAAAATCACATAGTCTCTTCAAATATACTTTTACTTTCTATTTCTATACATGTTTTTCCATGTCATGTTAACTTTCAAACGCGAATAATTCTTGACATTAAATTTCGACGGTGAGCTGTGCACACCATTACTGATTGGCATAGCAAACAAATTCCCGTTTCTGAGACTAAGGTACGATTGGTCAATGGCGAAGCCTTCAATTTGATCAAATTAGCAATGCTTTATTATGCTTCAAAATAAGTTGCAATAATAAAATTGTTGAGATATAGTGCTTGGATAAACCACAGCCACTATATATACTTGCCTCTGACACAGACAGGGTTAAAGTTACATAATATAATACTATGTTGAAGAATTAAAATAAACCACTATATATATTCAGACGTTGGTGGATTCACGTCCAGTTGATATACTTGTTTTCTGAAATAAATCCACAGAATATTATTTTGACCAATTTTCTTAGATTGAATTTTCTTTCATAAGTAGATGTATACGACTGATTATCGTCTTTTAAACCATACCCCTTTACCATTACATACATTTGACGTGGTTCACTTTATTCAAATAGCTTCGTATGTGACGGGGAATTATAACAATTAAAAAAGTTATCAATACCCATATTCACGAGTTTCGTGAATGTGTGCATATTTCCAAAACATGCCGGATATAGGAGCGTGTTGATTGGCCAGTTTGAACGCGACATGATGAATAATAATGATACAAGGCTTATCGCCTGAATAAATTGTAAATTTGTAACTTTCAAGGACGATATTGAAGGATATTGAACAATGACCAATGACTCTCTGTAATTATCGACATCAAAAAGTTAACTTACTTTTTTCCTAACATCTTACAGTCGTAAATCGTATCCGGAAGTCGAACGTTTGCTGTTTCCGGTAGAAACACGAAGGTTAAGACCAGAGAAGTGAATGAAAATGCTGAATAAATGATAAATGGTGCTGCTTCTTTAAAATCTCCAGTTATACCTTGACTCTAAAAAAACAAAAACAAAAAATTTTCTGTGTGAAACTTTGGCTTTAGTTCTAAAATATTGGGTGTCGAAGTCAACATCTGTACGAATATACACATATTTGTTTTTAATCCCATGTTTCAAAATGAAATTAAAAAAGAGAGAGAGAGAGAGAGAGAGGGGGGGGGGGGGGGTCTAAAGGCAACCAATTGAATTGTCGTAGAAGTTATATGGTGATGGCTTGATTTTGCCTTTTTTGACACAGGGACCAACTTTACAGCTGTCAAATAACGGGGCCGAATTTGACCGAGGCTATATTACGACGGCCATATAGTTGTAAAGAGGTTTTCTAAACTTTTTATGTGTATTGGAAATACTGATAGAATCGATTTGCATCATTGCAATTTTTAATCAGACGTCTATGGTTCTTACAATTCCTTTAAAACTAGCTTTATGATGTCAGTATCGCAAAGGTCCATATCAATAACAGCTCGATATCGACTTGCAAGAACCATAGAAGTCTAACTGAAAATTTTAATGGTGCAAATCGATTCTTTCAGTGTCCCCGATACACATATTTTTTTTTTTTTAGAAAACCTATATGATTTATAATCCCTTAAATTAATTCCACGTGCAATGTTTGCTCAAATGGAAATGAATGAAATGGTACTTTTCTGCACCATGTGGGCTAATGAAGACGGGCAACGCCATGCAGGGTGCAATGAGGGAAATCTCAGCCTGCTGCTCTTTTTCGATTTCCAACTGTCGAGGGATCTTTAACGTGCACAGCCTGTAGCACACGGGGAATTGGTTTGTTGTACCATCCGAACGACTAGACGCTTTTTCCATGTCAGTTCCTCTTACCCGCATAAGGCCTACTGACAGGGGGGATTTGGTCAAATGGATATACTATACTTACTATTAAACCAAAGTATGGGGCTATAACAGAGGCTAATCGGGCCATACAAGAACTCGTACCGGTACCAAAATTACGGAGTTCTGTCGGGTAGAATTCACCTGTCCATAACCAAAATAGACAGAAGGCAACATTTGATCCACACAATCCAACCATAGTGAATAGAGTCATCAACCATTGTTGATCTAAAATAGATATCAGATGATAACATCCTACGTCTGCGTACATGTTAAATGAAATGAATTTTTTTTACGCCCTATCAATCTATCCCATCCTATTTGGCCTAATGGCATGAAACGGAATAAAGTATTTTATTACGCCCTATCGCCCTGCCCATTGTTGGTCTATTGGGATGGAATGAAATGAAAGTTTTTTTTACGGTCCTAAGGCCGATGACGAATAGCGGTGACAGGAGAGGACCCTTGCTAGGGTATTTTTTCTATGAGTCAAAATCCTGTTGACTTTTAAGTCAGTAAATGTCATCGCAACGATTCCGGTAGACTTCAAACACTAACCGCCTTTACCGTTGACATCAATTGCGGGGGTGCGACTTTCTAACCTAGTTATGAGAGTCATGCCCGAAAAACTTGCCTTCGGATCTGCGAGAGTTGGCTCCGCCACTGGCCCTACCGGAAGTAGTAAACCACGAGGCAAATTACAATAATATCTCGAAAAGTCGCATTTCATTTGAACGGTCGACATGTCTATCTATAAAGGTTGTTTAAGATGCTTATTAACAATAACTTCCAACTGTTATAAATACTCCTCTTACAAATATTACTAGCCAATTGATATGAACATATTGATTGAGTTAGGTTGACGGTAGATATATTTTGCTTTATACAGTAAAAAAACTGTTTCAAACCCTAAAACTGTACCTAAAACATAGACCCTTAGGGCAAATGCATTCTATTCACTAAAAATCAAGATATGGTCATCCCTACCTGCCATTATACTACCTCTTAGAATAGACATAAAGTTTAAAGTCTCAAACATGAGTATATATATCATCAGGTGCCATGACTAAGGAATAGAATCTCTATATAAGACGACATATCCATTAAGCTGAGAAATTATTAAAAAACGCTTCTGAGCGTGTTACAAGATTACTTAGTTTAATGAAATATTACTTAGTTTTGTGGATTTTTTTGAATCATAGAAGGATTATGTTGTATAGTTATGACACCATGTAAGTCCACTGATGAATAAAGACTCATTTTGGGCAAGTTTAAGAATTAAAATTTTTTGGTCATCCTCAGAGGTAGTATACCTTTAACAAGTTATTACAAGTTATAACAATAGTCTTTTCCAATATTTCAATACCATATTACTA